CAGGACTGAGGAGCTCTGTTGTGACTGGTCCGGACAGTGCCCCCGAGAAACCAACCAGCAACCGAGGGCTCAGACAACGGAGCAAGTGAGAGAAAAGTGGCACCTACTTAGCGTGCGCGGCCGTCTCCTCACGGTTCTGACCCCTCCACACAGCTGACAGAGGCCGCCCAGAGACCCACAGCCCTGGTCCTAATGAGCGGGATGTCAGAGAGAAAACAGATGTTCTCGCAAGAGCAGCTGTCCCCCGGGCGCCCTGGGGAAAAGAGGGACCCAGTGTCGAGCAAAAATCCCCTTTGGTGAGCAAAATGGCCAGCACTGGAAAACGTGGGGGCCAGGTCTCGTGGCAACACATGTCATATCTAAAATGAAACACAGCCCCGGTGCCCCACGAGCCAGCGTGGTGGTGGAAGGTGTGCAGGCAAGACCCAGCAATGAAGCCAAGAACAGCAGCGATCGGCGCGGTCGTTGAGACCATCGATCAAGCGCTCATGGGCCGGGCACAGTGCCAGGCATGTTTACAGGTCTCAGTCTTCATCCTGAAGTAAGGGTCAAAAACTCACTAAGGGATCAACGCCACCTTTCTGGATATCACATTTTGGCCAAGGGAAGACACAGGGATGGGTGATGGGCCATTATGTCTCACAGGTGAGGCTTAACACTTAGGCTTGACCAGGAGAAAAACTAGCTCCCAGTCTCCGCTCTGTTGCTCCGATCACTGAGCGATGTGTGTAGAAATCCAACCACAGAACAAGGGCACCCAAGAGAGTAAGTCACCCTTCTCAGTTTCCCTGGGCTAATTTCTCCAAAACACCACTGAAGGATTGATGTCAGAGCCTAGAGAGGATGATGCATAAAGTCAAAAGCTGTAAAAGCTGGTGGGGAAACATCTTCAAACGCGCATTAGAAGGTAGTCAAGGAAATAACCGGTGTGCACAGACGCGGGTCTGCGCCATTTATAAACCTCTCCTTCCTAGAAACACAACAGAAGCAGAACTGTTTCACAATGCTAATAGACAGGAGTGGCAGCCTGGCTTCGGGCTGTAATGTCGATCTGTATGTCTGGGAGGATGTAAACAGGTGCCACGGAGCCCCTGTACTAACAGGACTCCCATTGTATACACTGCAGACGCATCATCCTGGCAAGTCAATCACGGAGTCAGGAACAGGGAAGAAGGTAGCCCTACCACAGCTACCTCCAAAAGAAGCAAACCCAGCCACTACTGGAAAAGGTCTCTGGGTCCTGAACCCTTAAGTCATCGCAGACCGAACTGGGACCCGAACCTACAAATGACAGGCCTAGAATTTTAGAAACATTTCCTTGCCACAGAGCCAGCAGAGCCTGCAAATGAGCTTTGAAACCAACAAAAAAGTTTCTGTTTCAAAATGACATTTTAGAGGTAATGTATAATTGCTTCCTCTCTGTTCGATGCTCCCCCCCCCAGCCGCCGCCTTCGCCCCCGCCGCCTTTTTCTTTCTCCATTCACTAATGAGAGAGTTTTCCTCTTCCCCTGCCTGTTTCAGTTTGAAACGTGGCACTGAACAGGCCACTGGAAAGCAAAGGGAAAGGGGAGGGGAAGGCTGCTTTCAGGTCTGACGCACGCACACACCCCCCAGCTGGCTGCCCACACCCCGAAGGAGGGTCAGCACTCCACCACAGCCAGGACTGAAGACCCAAGCTGCTGGGTAGAAAACTCCCACTTGCACCAACTCCCCCGAAAGCAGAGTTAAGAAAGAGAAAGCTGGAAGGGAAGGAGGGGGAAAAAAAAATAAAGCTCCACATTCCTGACATTTTTTAGCCAAGTGCTGTGGCTACACAGAACAGCTCTATTCCAAACGGCCTTGCGGAATGGAAAGAAAACCTGGATGCAGGGCAAAGAACCTGCCCTCTGCCTTGGAAATGGGAGACGGAATTTTAGGACGACCCAAAACTAAACCAGAAGGAGGAGGGAGGGGCACTTTCATGTGTGTTCCCCAAAGGCAGTGATCCCCAGGGAGGAAATTTGGAGTCAGCCTCTCCCAGAGGATAGAACTGAAGTCCCAGGGTCCCCGGGGTGGGGGGGCGATGGAGGCCCCCCGAAATGCTGGCGAGCTGAGGGTGAGTTGGGGAGGGGTAAGGCATGGGTGAGATGGAGACCAGTCAGGATGCCAGGGGCTGCGGAGGCCTGGGGTGGAGGCAAAGGGGTCCAGCTCATCGGCAGGGGCTGGGCGGGGGACCCCGAGGGAGGAGTGGCCAGGAGAGTTACTCTTTGTGGCAAGAATCCTAACTGGGTTTTCCTGACTCAGCTTCTGATGAAGGAACTCTAGCCCTGCCCAAATTAGAAACCCCACAGCCTGACGTCCTCTCTCCCTGTGTCCCCCTTCCCTTGCCACCTCCTTCTATTCTCATTTCCAGGAAAAAGCTTGTTAAGAGCTGGACTGCCCCCCGCCCACATGCGTCCCTACATATACACCACACCTCCAGGGGAGAACCCAGAAGACCCTAACTAGATGTATCCCTGGGTTATGAGGTGCCATCCCCGGCTTTACCCCAAATGTGAAGATGCCCACATGTGTCTCTCTGAGGTCCCTAGGACTAACCGAGTTATTTCTGCTCTTTTGGTAGGGAGAGCAGAGCTCCAAAAACTTGACTCTCTCTCCTACCTCCTCAGAGTCAGTTGTCAGGCATAGACAACAAGGACCTATGTGCCGAACACAGCAGAACACGTGTCCTTCAGAAGGGAGGTTTGGGCATGGCCCTCTCTCTCACATACCAGCATACACTGACAATCCCACAATGTACCTCCGATGCCCCTTCTAGAAAAGGTGCCCTGCCCTGTAAGCCCAACCGCTGCAGGTCTAAGCTTCTGCAGATAGAGGGTGACAGGAAGAAGCAGTCAGTCTGCAGGGCATTTCAACCAGGGCCCTTTCCACATTCCCCAAGATGGGGAACCGGGGAAGGCATTGTTGTTATTTCCTCAATCCCGGACCTTCCTCCTCTGTCAGGGAGTGGGAGTAAGGGCTCCTAGCACTTTTCAACTCCCACAAAGTCCCAGGTTTCATGCAAAGGACTTTCCACAAGGCTGAAGGCAGGAGAGGGAAGGAGGTACGGAGCTCAAACCCTAAGCAGCTCTTTGAAGCAACAATAAAACCCACAGAGCCACGAACCTTAGCAACTGCCCGAAACGCAGCAGAGAGGCACAAGGCTATGCGAGAGACCCGCCGGCTGAAGAGAGTGTGCCCATGAGGTCTACAGCTGTCACGTGTGTCTTTCCAACCACACCTTCCAAGACTGGTGACACGGCCCCGGGAGGCCTCTTAGAACGGAGGACAGCAAATAGATACTGAGGGTATGGGCTGCGCAAAACAAAATTCTTATTTCATTAAAGCTAGTACCATGATCAATAGTAACGGGGCTTCGTCAACAAGCGATGCGTTTTCACATTTGTGGAATCTGTTCTGGCTCTTATTGCTTGATCTCAGTTGAACCTTCCAATAAGCTTGTGAGGAAGACAGGTTTTACTAACCTCTTTAGCCAAGGGGAAACTGAGGCTGCAGTCAATTTTTCCGTCCGGACTAGTGACAGGGCAGAGACGGGGACCCAGGGACGGTCCTGGCTTGACAAAGTCAGGGTGAATATGCAATGAGAGCTGTGGGGGTGGGGGAAGGAAGGAGGGAGGAACTGAAGGGCAGGAGCCCTAGCAAAAGCTGGAGTGCAGACCCCAATCCTGGTCCCAGGTTTATTTCCTACAGACCCTGAAGGCCAGCCGAGGATGCATTCACACATCCAACCCTGACTCACCACCACGAAAATGTCCCCAGCCTGAGGGCCGCTTCAGGCCCAAAGAGAACCCTTGTCATCCACAGAGGGGAGACAAGGAACCCAGAGAGAGAGGGGCACTGAAAGCGGAATTAGCCACACTAAGAATCCTCCGTTTCCAAGGCCGTTACAGCTTCCTAACCCATCCCTGAGAATGCAGATGAGCAGCACTACCCAGCAGGGAGGACCAGGCACGCCTCAAAGGAGACATGGGTGAGAGGAGGGGAGCGTCACTCACGTAATCTCACTCTTAAGACAAGATATACCAGAGCAAGCCCATCCTCACTTTCTTCCAGTTCTTCCCACTTTGGATATCACATTTTTCTCCCTCTCCCGAGCAGTCAGTCATTCCCTTGGATTCTGACCCCCAGCGGGCTTACTAAAACTCGGCTTGGTCTGCTTGGTGAGGCCTACACCAGGGCACTGCTGTCCGGGGTCGGACCCCATCCCCTCCACCCCCTGTCCCCCACGGCTCTGAGAGAATCATCTTTCCCCTAAAAGCAGAGAATATCCCTGTCCCTCTCCTTGCCCCTGTAACAGGGGAGAAGCTCTGGTTCCACCACAGATGGATCCAAAGGGACAGTCCTCAGGGTAATAAAGGGTATATGAAACCTGGCCTTTTCGGCAAGGGCAAAAAAAAGGGGGGGGGGGAGGATGGCAGAAGGGCACTGCTGGGACAGGGTCAGGGCCACACGTGAACGCCCTGAGCACGTTCCAGAGGTGAGGATGCATGAGACCTGGAAAACCAGGTGGGACGTAGAAAAGAGTCAGCGTCCCTCCCGCTGGAAAAGCCCAGAGGAGCTGGCAGCCACCGCTTGGGAGGGGGAATTGTGCAATGACCGCGGGTCTGGGAGTCTCCGGGCTTGGCTCCCGGACACCAGAAAGGAAACCCCACTGGTCGGGCCAGGGTGGCAGCGCTACGGATGGTTCGAGGCCAGGCTTAGGATCCAGGGCTGCAGAAAGCGCTGCAGGATAGTGTGGGTGCTCAAGGGGGCGGCAGAGCAGGGCAAGGCTGGCGCGGCCGCAGAGCTGAGGGGTGGCGTCCGGGCTGACCAGGAGGCCAAGGGGGCGCGGAGTGCACAAAGCCGGGGTGCAGAGAGCGTACATGGCAGCCAGACGCCCCGGCTCGGAGGAGGACCCGCAGGACCTGCAGGGCTACGCCGGGCGACGCGCGAGGGGGCATCCCCTCCCCAGTCTCGCTCACCTCGAACATAAGCCCGATGAGGACGCAGAGCACCAAGCAGAAGCCGATGTCCGCATGGTTGTGGATGACGAACTCCTGGCTGAAGAGCGGGTAACTTTTCGTCCTCCTGCGGAAAGCCATGGCAGCGGGCGCGCAGCGGCCGGCGGGGCCCGCACCCTGCGCTCTCGAGCCGCCGCGCAAACTTCTCCAACCCCGGCCCGGTCCGCCCGCCGGCCCGCTGCCCCGCTCGCCCTCCCGCCCGCCGGCCTAGCGCCGAACAACTTCTGGGGCCCGCCCCCTTCCTCCGCCCGCCCCCGCCCCCGCCCCCGCCCCCGGCGCCCGGAACCGCCCCCGGCCGCAGCCCCCTCCCCACCCGCGGCCCGCACTCGGCGCGCCGGCCTCGCTGCGGCCCCGCCCCCCCGCGCGCTTAACCCTCTGGCCGCCGGGACGCGCGGGGTCGGGAGGGAGCGGGGTCCGGGGTGGGGGAGCGGGGCGGGGCCGGCGCGCGGGGCCGCGAGCGCGGCTCGGGCCCCCTTGGCCCCGCGCCCGCGGCCCGGCCCGTCGCCGTCGCCGCGCCCCGCTGCATTCTCGCCGCTGCGGCCCGGCCGCCTGCCGCGCGTAGGGAGCAGGCCGCGGGGGGCGCTGCCGCCCGGCCTTGCCGGGACAGGAAGTGGGCCCGGGTTTCCCACTTCTCGGCGCCCGCTCCTTCCTCCGAGGGAAGGGAAGGGCCGGGGAGGCCGCGGCCCGGCAGAGGGCGGGGTGGGCCGGGCAGCCGGATACTCCTGGGCTTGCGGGGCCGAGAGCAGCGCAGGTTCGGTGGAGGGAGGGGAGCGGCCGGCGGGCCCTCTCGCTGGCCGCCCCGCCAGGCACGGATGACCAGTGAACCTCAAGTCAACCAAGTGTTTATTGAGAGCTTGTAGTGACCTAGGCACGGTTCAGATTGCTGGGAATACGCAGCAAACAAACAAAAAAGACCTGCCCCGGGGGCGTCTGTATTCCAGTGAGGGGAGTGGATGGACGGGTGCAGTTTTGCTAACTAATGAGACTTTTGTGCTACTATCAATTAGTTATACACGTCTTACTCAGAGTCTGCCTTAAATATTAATTGATCTGAAGAAGAAAAAAAGAAGGCACTGTCTCATGTAAAGTTTCTATTTAATATTAAGTTTTAAAAGTACTCCTGGAAAGGACAAAATGTATTTTTAACAAATTAATTTATATAGGCAAATATTGGATTTATGCCTACCAGTAATGAAGGAGTCAACTAATCACTTTCTAGATGTGTGAAAATGCAAAATGAACAAAGAACTATTTAATTCCTATTCTCCTTTTCTTTAGGTCCAGAGTTATTTCACTTTTAAGTAAATATGATTTCTTAAACATGGCACGGTGTGGGAAATGTGATGGAGACTGAACTTACCTTGACTTCCTAGATAAAATTTTACATCTGAAGTTTCTTCACTCATCAGTATTTAGATACAGTCTTTGGTCTTTAATTTATCTGGCTTCAGGAAATAGGAAAATATTGCCTATATTGGACTAAACATTTAACTTCAAGGCTGACCTTTCTTAAAGTTGGACCCGAGTTTCATGAGGAGTAGAAAGATCAAGAACTCCAGAGCATCTTAATTTTCCATCTGTGAAAAGGTGTTCCTATTTTCAAATGGGAGCCACATCTGTTAGGTTGAACCCTATGCCATCAGTTTCTCTAGGTCAAAATTAGAATACCAGCATTTCAGATGGCTCAACCTAATACTTTCCTCGTGTTTCCCCATGACCATTCGTAGAGGATATCGTGGTGGGAATTTCTTGCATAAAGTGAGATATTGTCAATCTCGGCCTGTATTCAGGCCAAAAGTCCTAGGAGATAGTTAGGGATTATAACCTCCAGGTGTGTAAATGAGAAACCTAAAGTAAAGGGGATAGCTTAGTGCTCATACTGATGATTGCCAGCCCTGAGTCCTTTCAAATGCAATTGAACAGTTAGACAAAGGGTTCTTAGATGCATGGTTTGATATTCATTACCTTACAACCCCATGGAGGAAGCACTAGACGCCTACTTCAGCCATCCCAGCCATCTCTAAGTCTTAGTTCCAAAACCATCTTCAACCCCAGACAGACCTCTTCCCAACCCCTCATCCAGTCACGGATCCTATGAATCTCAGCACCTCAGAACAACCTTCCAACAATCCCCCTCCCCTACCATTCTTTACCTGGCCCACACTAATTACCCATAGATACCCTGCCTCCAGGATCTCCCCCTTTAACACACCACTCCATTAGAAACATCTACTGAGCACCTACTAAGTGCCAAACACTGTGCTAGTTACCAGGGACGGAAAGATAAGACAATCCATGTGTGGTGGTTTTAAAATATGTCCTCAAATTCTTTGATACTCCTCCCTTCAAGAAGTGGCGATTAATCCCTCCTCTTGAATGTGGGCTGGACTTTAGTGGATCACTTCTAACGAATAGAATATGGCATAAGTGATGGTGTGTGACTCCCAAGACTAGAATGTGAAAGACATTTTGGTTTTCTCCTTTCTGTCTTAGGTCACTTGTTCTGGAGGAAGCTAGCTGCCACATTGTGAAGATACTCAAGCAGCTTTATGGAGAGGTCCACATGGCCAAGAACCAAGGCCGCCTCCCAACAGCCGTCACTAATCTGCCAGGCTTGCCACCTTGGAAGCAGATCCTCTAGCCCTCGTCAAGTCTTCAGATGACCGTAGTCCCAGCTGACCTCTTGACCGGATTTGGTGACTGCCTTTTTTTTTTTTTTTTTAAGATTTTATTTATTTATTCATGAGAGACAGAGAGAGAAGCAGAGGGAGAAGCAGGCTCCCCGCTGAGCAAAGAGCCCGATGAGGGACTCGATCCCAGGACCCTGCCATCATGACCTGAGCCAAAGACAGATGCTTAACCAACTGAGCCACCCAGACGCCCCTGGTGACTGCTTTAATATAAGATCTATAAGAGTTAAAGGAGTCAAAACTTAAGGCCGGGATGACATAAATGACAGTGGCACCATTTAAAAAACTATGTGGGGGCACATGGGTGGCTCAGTCGGTTAAGCGTCTGCCTTCGGCTCAGGTCATGATCCCAGGGTCCTGGGATCGAGCCCGGCATCGGGCTCCCTGCGCAGCGGGAAGCCTGCTTCTCCCTCTCCCACTCCCCCTGCTTGTGTTCCCTCTCTCGCTGTGTCTCTCTCTGTCAAATAAATAAATAAAATCTTTAAAACAACAACAACAACAACAACAAAATGGTTGGACTGCAGTCAGGGAGGGAAACCCAGAATTAAAGGAATCTGTGGTTCATCTGCAATGGGACTGCTGAAGCCGTGAGGTTAAAAGTAAGTGATCCCCGGAGAGTGTGCTGCATGAGGAAAGGCCTGAGGGCAGTAGCGTCCAAGGTAGGGAACCCCAAGCTGAGAAGGGAGGAGGAGAAAAAGGAAAGTACAGGGTGCAGGAAGCCAGGACACAGGCACTTCACAAGGCTAGGGTAAATCAGGCAGGATGCGAATAAAATGAAGCCCCTCGATGCACTCATTATGGCCTTTGAGAGCACCCTTTTTTTTTTTTTGAGAGAGCCATTTTTAACTGGACCTCGGAGCGGGCTTAACCGTGGGTAGAAGATGAGAAAAGGAGGTGAGAAAGTAGTCTATTCTTTTGAGAAGTTTGGTGAGGAAAAGGGAAATGGATGGTGTCTTGGGGGATATAGAGGATCTAAGGCAGGGTCTTTAAATTACATATAGTTTTGGAGATTGGAGTCTGTTTGGAGAAGAAACAGGAGAGAGAAGGAGGAACTGAAAATACTGTAAATATTAACCCTAGAGATCATTGAAGAAATCAAGGAGAACAGCTCCAACCATAAGGGGAAGAGGCAAAACTCCTCAGGCTGGGGCAAGGACCTAAGAATGGGTGAAAATATATATAGTTACATCTGGAGGTGGAGGAAATAATTAGCTCTCCTGTTTCTGTTGCACTTTACAGTAGCCCTGTGAGGGAGGCAAGACAGTTATTACCAAGCCCTGTTGTCGCTCTTCTGAGACACATGAATGACCAAGGGCCACATAATTAGTGGGTAGCTGAACCAGGACTCAGACCAGCAGGTCAGCACAAGGTTCCCTTTGCTAGACCATCCTGTAGCCTTTCAGGCTTCTTAAAGTGTGGCACTGATCAGGGCCATACCGTCTGTCTCTCCACCTGTCCCATCAGGGCTGCTGATAATTCGGCCACACCAACTCTTAACTAAATTGGAGTAGCCCCTCTTTCCAGAACAGACCATGTAGCTTCCAATCTTTATATCTTTGTTCCCCTCACAAGGCCTTTGTTCCGTGTCCCTTTGCCAAAATGGTAACTGTCCTTCAAGATAAAGAACGTGTATCTCTTCCTTCGCCAAGCTGTCTTCAGGGCCCTGGGCTGGAGGCACGCGCACTGTGCTGTGTGCATCTCTCTCAGGTAGCAGCAATCAGTGTATCTCTCTATGAGTTTTACCGCCCCCCCTTAGAGAGTGTCACCCTTCAGGGCAGGAATCTAGCCATTTGCTCTCATATTCCAACAGCACCAAGCATAAGAATCCCACATAGTATGTTCTCACCAAGTGTTGGTTGAATGAATGATTCAGTGAGAGATGCTGTTGCCCTGGGCTGGTATAAACGTAACCGTTATCCCAACAAATGGAAAATGTATTTTCTCACATACCAAGAAGTCCTAAGTTAGTTCATTCCCAGAAGTAAATGATTCATCGAAAACTAGGGTCTCACTGTCTTCCCATTTTGCCACTGTGTTTGCTTTTGTCTCAGATTTGTCCCTCATGGTTACAAAGGGGCTGCAACAGCTCCAGGCATTCTTTATTCATTCCTTCATACAACAAGACCCAAAACTCAGACAAGAGGGAGAGGGGTGTTTTGAAGAGTGAAGAAAACTTGCCCAGAAACCCCAGACTTCTCCTAATGCCTCACTGGCCAGAATTGCATCCCATGCCCATTCCTAAACCAGTCATTGGCAAGGTGAATGGAATTAACATAACTGGATTAACCTCACCAGGGAGACATCCTCAGAGAGCCAAAGAAATTTCTCACCTCCTTTGAAGATCTGGCAACCCCTTACCTGAATAAAATAAGAATTCTGATTGCAAGGAAAAGGGGAGACTGGGTGTGAAGCAGGCATCCAGAAGGATCTGCATAGTGATTTTTTTTTCTCTATACATTTTCACATCTTTGCCTCACAGGACACACAG